CTAGTCTCTCTCTCTCTCTCTCTCTCTCTCTCTCTCTCTCTCTCTCTCCTCTCTCTCTCTCTCTCTTATCTATCTATCTCTCTCTCTCTTCTCGTCTCTCTCTCTCTTCTCTCTTCTCTCCCCCTTCTCCCTCTCTTCCCTCTCTCCTCTCCCTCTCCTCCCCCTCCCTCCCCCTCCCCCCTCCCCCCCCTGCTCTCTCTCCCCCCCTCTTCACATACGCAAACACACTTCCCCCTCCACACGTACTCTCAAACACACATTTCCCTCGCTTCTGCTATGTACACCTTCCCGCTATAAAAACCAGTTCCCTTCCGTTATACACACAAGTGACTCACCTGGGGGCACGCTGGCTCACATGCAGACAGGGGGGGGGGGGGCGGCAGGGGGGGGTTACTTATACACACAACTTATACTTATACACTTACTTGTGCATGTTTATGTTCGCGTGTACACATTCGTCCGACTCTCTCTCTCTCTCTCGCTTGCTTGGCTGTGTGCGTAAGTCGCTGGGAGTGTAAGCTTTTCTTCTGTGTGGAGAGCCGTGTAATGCATATTTTGAGGGGTTTGGGTGTATTCCTTTTTTGTTGTTGTTGTTGTTGAATTTCTTATGTTTTTTCTTTTTCTTTATTTCTCTTTTTGTGTTTTCTTTTTTTTTTCTTTTCTTTTTTTTTAATTCTTTTTTTGGGTGGGGTATTGTTGGTTTGCTTATCAATTTTCTTTTCTTCTTCTCTCGTCTCTATTTTCTTTTTTTATTGATGTTGTTTATTTACTAAAATGTATTCTTCTTTTCCTCTTTTCTCTCTCTCTTTCTCTCTCTCCTCTCTCTCTCTCTCTCTCTCTCTCTCTCTCTCTCTCTCTCTCTCTCTCTCTCTCTCCTCTTCTCTTCTCTCTATCTCTCTCTCTCTCATCTCTCTCTTTAAATATCCAAGGACAGAAAAAAATAAAATAAAGATTATATAACCAAAAGGTAAACAATAAAAAACAAAGCAAAAACAGAACAAAAAACACTCTACAAGAGCATTAGTCCTCCCTCCTCCCCTTCCCCCCTCCCCCTCCTCCTCCTTCCTCCTCCTTCATCTTCTTCCCCCTCCCTCTCCCCCTTTCCCCTTCCCCCCTTCTCTCTCTCCTCTCCACCCTCCCCTCCCCCCTACCCCTCCACTTTCTCCCTCCTTTTTCCCCCCCTTTCCCTCCTCCTTCTCTCTCTCTCCCCTCCCTCCCCCTCCCTTCCTCCTCCCCCCCCCCCTCCTCCTCTTCCCCTACCCCTCTCTTCCCTCCTCCCTTCCCCCTCCCCTTTCTCTCTCTCTCCCCCCCCCCCCCGTTCTCTCTCAGCAGCCTGTGAGAATATATGTACTTATACATTATGGAGGATTCTACACCGAGCGAAGGTATTTATGTGAGCTGCTGAGGTAATAATGATTCGTCTGAGCCTCTCAGGCCACGTGGGAAGGGGGTGTGTTCTGTGTTGGCCTTCTCACGGGTGGATTAAGCTTTTTTGTTTTGTTTTTTGGGGCGTTTTCTAGGTCTGTTTGTTTGTTTGGCTGGCTGGCTGGCTGGTCCTCTGTCTGTCTCTCTGTCTCTGTCTCTCTCTTTCTCTGTCTGCCTGTCTGTGTCTCTTATTCTCTCTCTCTCTCTCTCTCTCTCTCTCTCTCTCTCTCTCTCTCTCTCTCTCTCTCTCTCTCTCTCTCTCTCTCTCTCTCTCTCTCTCTCTCTCTCTCTCTCTCTCTCTCTCTGCCTCTCTGTCTCTCTCTCTTCTCTCTCTCTCTCTCTCTCTCTCTCTCTCTCTCTCTCTCTCTCTCTCTCTCTCTCTCTCTCTCTCTCTCTCTCTCTCTCTCTCTCTCTCTCTCTCTCTCTCTCTCTCTCTCTCTCTCTCTCTCTCTCTCTCTCTCTCTCTCTCTCTCTCTCTCTCTCTCTCTCTCGTCATGGTAGATTTCAATAGCGTTTTGAATTTTTTTTTTGAGTAAGTTGTATTTTTTTTAACTTCCTTTTTTTCTTTCGTTTTTTATTTCCTTTCTTTTTTAACTTTTTTAAAAAACTTTTTTTTTTACTTTTTTTATTGCAGGTTGCGGTATGTTTGTATTGCTGTCTTTTTTCGATTGTTGCAAATATGAATAGTGGATGTTGAGCTCGTTGCCATTTCCATATTTGCAATTTTAAGGCGATCTGAGTGGGTTTCGAAGCTGTAGAGATCTTTGTCTTTGTTTGATGTTATTATCTTTTCCTGTTTGTCATTTTTTATATTTTTAAAGATAGATGTTGTTATCATTTTGTATGTTTGTATTAAGGAATTATGATATGATTACTGAATGGAGATTTCACTTATATATAATATTTTTTAATATCTGTCTAGTTTCTTCACAATTTTATTTTGTTATCATTATTGTTATTATTATTATCATTGGTATTATCCTTAATGATTATCATTATCTATCATTCATCATCTTCATCTTCATCTTCATCTCATCATCTTCATTTCATCTTTATTTTATCTATCTTACTTTATCTTTTATCTTTATCTTTATCTATCATTCTTCATCTTTCATCTTTCATCTTCATCTTCATCTTCATCTTCATCTTCATCTTCATCATCATCTTCATCCATCTTCATCTTCATCTTCATCATTCATTCATCATCATTCATCATCATCATCATCATCATCACCATCATCATCTCATCCATCATCATCATCATCATCACATCATCGATCATCATCATCATCCACCATCACCAATCACCATCACCACATCACCATCATCATCATCATCGACACCAACCATTTACTTTATGAGCTACACTACCTACCCCCACAACCCTACCACACACTTGTAACACTCAGGACATCCATAACCCAAATACCCCCAATGGCTTCAGTATTGCAATTGCACCTCTATTGCTCCTGGTGGTAAAGTTGACAATTTGAATTCTCGACGAAATTTAAGTCTGGTAGAAAAAAATGGAGACGAGGAGCCGCTTCCATGTTGGTTTAGGATGTAAAAAGTTTTTTGTTTTTTTTTTCCTTTTTTTTTTTTTTTTTCCATTTTTTTTCGATTTTTTTTCCATTTCAACCACCATTTTTTTTCCATTTCAAACCATGCAGTTAATTGGTAGCCTTTTGTTGTTCTTTTTTTTTTTTTTTGGGGGGGGTGCGAGAACACTGGCGATTCATGTATTTATATGAACGGTGTGTGTGTTATATTTGTGTTATATGTATATATGTATATGTGTCTATGTATATTCATAGCTATATCTTGCTTTGCTCTTGTGTCGTGCATCACACATACATGTATGTACGAAAGAGAGTGTGTGCGTGTGTGTGTGTGTGTGTGTGTAGATATATGCACACAAATACGCACATCCACCACACACACACACACACACAACACACACACACACACACACACACACACACACACACACACAACACACACACACACACACACACACACACAACACACACACCACACACACCACACACACACACACACACACACTTTACACACTCTACACAAAACCCTCAGCTAAACCTTCATGACTAACCCCCCCCCCCCTTCCCTACCTTCCAGAGCCGAGCGATTTCGTGAGGTCGACGTCAGCGAATAGGCCACGCCCCTACGCCCTCGACCCACCAATGGGCGGTCCTTGTGACTGGACGATGTTCCTCCTTCTGTCTGTCCTGTGTGAGTATCCGGTGTCTGTCTGTCTATCGGGAGGGAAAAAGGGGGGGGGGGCAGGGGAAAGGGGGGAGGGGGGGGAAAGGGGGAAGGGGAAGGGGGAAGGTGGGGAGGGGAGGTCTCAATTCAGACTCCTCTAAGGCTTATTGTCTGTCTATCGGGAGGGAAAAGGGGGGTAGGGGGCAGGGGGGGGGGGGGCACCAGGGGGGAAAGGGGAGGAGGGGGGGCAGGGGAAAGGGGGAGGGGGGAGGGGGGGAAAGGGGGGAGGGGGGCACCAGGGGAAAGGGGGGAGGGGGGGCAGGGGAAAGGGGGAAGGGGGGAGTGGGGGAGTGGGGGGGGGAGGTCTCAATTCAGACTCCTCTAATGCTTATATGTATGATGTGGTGCTTCTTCAAAGTGGTATTGGCATCTCAGAGGCTGTAAACAGGGAGGAGGTCGTGTTGTGCCTCTTCGTTGTCTTCTTTTTTCTTTCTCTTATCTTCGTTCTTCTTCTTCTTTCTTCTTCTCCTTTCTTTGATTTATTGTTTCTTAACTTTCTTCTTGTCTTGTTGTTTTTTTTACTAGTTTTTTACTCTTTTCTTCTTCTTTCTCTTCTTCATCTTTTTTCCTTTTCTTTCTTTTTCTTCTCTTTTTCCTCTCCGCCTCCTCTCTTCTTTCATTTCATTACCATTACCGTTATTATTACTATCATTACTATCATCACCATCATTACCATGATTATTATTATCATGATTACCTCTCTTCCTTTTTTTTTCGTTTTCTTCTCCTTCTTCTTCTTCTTCTTCTTCTCATCTCCTTCATCTTCGAAGAAAAGCAATAAAACTTGACTTGATATCAAAATAACCACACAATCTCCTTTACGAGAACAGCAAATCATAAGCACAGAAGGTATAGGCAGAGATGACAGCGTCTGCGTCCAATCAAGCAGCAAAATAAAAATAAAGAAAAATAAAGAAAAAATAATTTAAAAAAGGTTTGATAAAAGGGAGTAGAAATATGACTTTATGCTACGGCTCTCTCTTTCATTTGTTTATTTTCATCTACAGGAAAATAAAGAAAATGTTGGTTGGAAAAAAGTATATAAACTATTTTTCACATTTTTGGGAAAAAGGAAAAAAAAAAAGATTGAAAAAATATATATATTGCCAAAACACTTTTCGTTTTTAGAGAGAAGAAAAACATTGTTACCATAAATGGGTCCATTCCATAAAGAAAAGGTGATAAAAAAATTTTCAGTTTCAAAAAAAGAAAGCATTTCTGTGACATCTTTCAGTAGAGGGACGGAAATGAAATAAAAGAAATACATAACTTACTTTGTCTAAGCGAGAAAA